TGCAGGTGGAACTGAGCTCCTTGGAGCAGACCCGGTCTTGACATCTTCCTGTGTCCCCAGCACTCATCCCCAAGGCAGTTGCTCAGCTATCACTGTAGATTCCTGCCACGTGACAGTCCAGAAAGAGGTCAGGGCTGTGCCGGTGCTTCTGGGGGCCCGCCTCCCTCTCTCTGACCTGTGGTTCTGGGAGCACCAACTCCAGCCCAGCTTGAGGTGGAGTCAGAGCTCAGGTTTGGCCGATCAGAGCCCAGGATCCCCTCACGCTCAGTGATTGGCTGGGCGTGGTTCACTTCTCAACCAATGAGAGCCCTGGGAAAGCATGTCTAGAAGGAGCCAAGAGAGGAGGGAGGCAGGTAGTGAGGCTACAGACCCACCCCGCACACCGGAGCCACCCCACTGGGGGAGCCAACGCATTCTTTCTTCAGCTTAGGCTACTGTGAGTTGGACCCAAGCGGGACGGCTGCCCCTGGTGCCTGGGAGCTGGCGGCCTGTCTGGAGTCCTCCAGCTCTCGCCCCGAGCCTCCCTGAACCTTGGTGTCTTCTTTAGTAAAAACAGATGTATGCGATTAAACGAGAAGGAACATCATGGTTTTATAACGAACTCTGCCTCCTTGTTTGCTAGGCGCCTTACACACATGGAGCGTGCCCATAGCCTCTGGCATGAGGAGCAGGGCCCTGTTTTACTCAGAAAGGCCAGCTTATTTCTGCAGTGAGTCAGAGTGGGCTTGACTCCCAGTCCAGTGTTCCTTCCGCACCAACACTACTGGTCTGCGAAACGGACTCCACTGCTAGTTGAAGACTGAGAGGCGCAGTGCCCTGGGCAGGTTCCCCAGCTGATGCCCAGGTGCCTTCAGAGGTGCTGGCTGCATTTGCTGGCAAGGAGCCAGAGCTGTCTGCTGCCCCCAGAACACCTGACTCCCTGGGCTCATTCAGTGCTTTGTCGTATTAATGCTCCCAGCTTTGAAAATAGGCAGGGGATGCAGAATCATCATCCACGTTTTACAGATGGGGAAGGTGAGGCACCGAGTCCAGCGTCCCCAAATCAGAGGAGCTGTGATGAGTCTGCCCTTCCTGGGGACCCCAATGCCACCTCTATAGGTTCCTCCCTTCACTTCTAGCTTTGCCTTATGGCCCACAACACTTGGAATTGATGGCTTGTCTCCGTGTTAGACCTCCAGCAGTGGCAGATTCCAGAAGTGAGCACTCTACAGCCAGGCAGCCAGGCCCGTCCGGAGCTGCCCAGACTCTTCGGGCTGTGGCTCCGTGTGTCACCGAGGAAGTGTGCCATGGTTACACAGTTTGGGATCACTGGATTAAACAGGGGAGGATTCAGGACTTCTCAGAGCCTTCGGTCTGCTAACAGGCACCGTGGCCCCAGACAGAGAGACGGCGTCCCATATTTATTCGACCATGGAATCTGCCTTTGGGCACAAAGTCACCCTCAGCACCACATCTTGGTGCCCGCTCTGGGAACCAGTGGAACCAGCACAGTCCAGGATGGCAGGAAGCCTGGCTTCTACTTCTGGTCCCACACAGACAAACCCTCTGCCAGTTCCAGTCCTCACGGCCTCCAGCTCCTCGCTGGTCCCCTGCCTCCGGCGGAGCGTCCCCTTCTCTCCTCCGCTTGCAGCCAGAGC